CGTAATTTATAGAGGATTAATAAGATGGTTGAAATTGGGCTCAAAATCACCCAGTATATATCCTCCACTGGAGAAGGGATAGGGGTTTTAAATTTATCATTTTATTTTCTCTATTATATTTGATATTTTTCATAAGAAAATTTTTTTTTCTGTAAGCTGCATCCTCAAGATTCCAACTGTTTGGTTTTTTTTAAAATCTCCTTAAATTCTTCAGCAATTTTTTCATGTATATGTGTGTAGATTTTTCTTTTGGCAGGTCTATAACTTTGTTTCATTTTCAAGGACAATTGAATGGGCAGGAATATTATTAATGATACCTAAATGCAAGAAATAATCTCCTTTGAAAACAAGAACTTGAAAAGCCATAAAGATAAAAATGTTATTAAAGTGTATTTATTGCTACTAAGAAAACATCTTGAAATAGATTTCTAGTGGATAGTGTAATATATTAAGAGAAGAGCACCCTCTGCTGTCTTGACACAAATGAGGAGACACTATTGTGTCCTTGATTTTTCCAGTTACCAGCCACAGTAACTGGAATGTATCATAATATTAATAATAATAATTATTATTATTAGTAGTAGTAGTAGTAGAAGTAATAGTAGTAGTAGTAGTATGTTAATAATTATTATTATTAAAAACCAAGGTAGATGATATCATAGTCAACTTTTCTTTTAAAACCATATCAGGGATGCAGGGAACCACTACTGGCCTGCAAAGGTGGGGTTAGAATTTATTTCCTAAAATATATAAAGGCTGTAAAACTAAGCAAAAATAACTTTAGCACACACATCTACTGTGAACCAAATTTTACCCATTTGGAGACAGTCAACCCAATCGCTTGGGTTGCTGGGTGAACATGTCTTTGTGTGAAACTGAGAACAAAATTATTTCCATAGATTTCCCTGTGAATTTGAACTTGTCAGAACTGTGCCACTGCTTAGGAAGTCCATTGCTACCCTGGGGACTTTAGAAATTCATCCCGGTGGGTCCCATTCCCAGTCTGCTGTTCAGGTCAGTTCAGTGCATTAAAGCTCTTATGTGGAGCTCACTTAAAGGCTAGGCAAGGCCAATGTTAGTCTACTCCATGGCTGCCTGTGCCTGTCCTTGTCATGATCCTAAGAGTCAGATGAAACAATAACATGTTTTTATCATCATATGTCATTTTCCATTTATTTTGTTTGAATTCCTCTTTCTTGAGGAAGAGTCTGTGAATATTGGTTTTTGAAGTGGCACTGTGTTGAGTAAAGGGTTAACAAAACCCATTCTTTTATGAAATTTGACCTTGGGTTAACTTTCTAGTTCTGTTTGCCTGAAAGCTGATAAAGGTGGCACGTCAGCTGTGTTACTGAGGAATATTGCATGTGGTAAAAATGACCTCTGATTCTGAACTGCCTCCAACTCGGGAGGGCAGAATGCATTAAAAATATCAGTTTGGGGGACATAGCTTCGGATTTCTCAAGGTGTGATGATTCTTGCAACTCACATGTCCTTTGTGGAGACCCAGAGGCTGTTGTTATAAGATATACTGGTTTTTAAATGGCAAGATTGTCGTCTTCTTCTTTTTTTTAAGGCTGAATAAGATCCTTGTGTGTGTATTATATTTTTAAAATCAAATTTTCAGTCAACAGACACACTTATGGTTTTCCCATATCTTGACTATTGTGAATAATGCTGCAATGAACCTGGGGGTACAGATATCTCTTTGAGGTTTCATTTCCTTTGGATATATACCCCAGAGTAAAATTGCTGGATCCTATGGTAGTTCAACTTAAAATTCCTTTAGGAACCTCCATACTGTTTTCCAGGCTGTCTATATTGATTTACATTTCCACATCTAGCATACAAGGTTTCTCTTTTCTCTGCACCTCTCCAATGCTTATTAACTTTTGATATTTTGATAGCAGCCATGCTAACAGGTGTGGGTGACATCTCAATGATTTGCATTTCCATGATGATTAGTGATGTGGAGAGTCTTTCATATCACTGAACTGTGCACTTAAAAATAGTTAAGAGGGTATATTTTGTTACGTGTACTTTATCACAAATTTTATAAATATGCTAGAGGCCCAGTGCATGAAAATTCATGCACTGGAGGGGGGGTTCCTCAGCCCGGCATGCTCACAGTCCGGGAGCACTCAGGGGTGGCAGGCAACACAGCCATCAGGAAAAGACAATGCCCCATCATACCTGTGCTGCTGCCACTGCTGGCAGCACAAGCCTCGGTTGGCCCTGGTTACCTGAGCCTTGGGCAGCCCTGGGCGGCTGGGAAGCCACCATCCAAGGCTTGCCTGCTGGGCTGGAAGAACTGTGGGACTCCAGTGGCAGGAGCAAGGAGCATTGCGGGCCTGCCACCCCCAGTAGGGCTGAAAGGACTGGGGGACTCCGGCGGGGCTGAGAGGACTGGGCACCGCCACCTAGTGGCTATGGGCACCACCATCTTTGTGACAGTGTGATGGTCAATTTGCATATTCCATCTTTATTAGATAGGATAACTTACAAAAAGAAGCTACTATCAAGAAAATGGATCTTAAGATACAAGAAATAAATCACAATGAATTCTTTAAAGATAAAAAAATGGTATATTGGTTCCTATTAGGTGTGTGGGGGCAGAATTGCACTCCTAAGTCACCACTGCATCTATTTGTGCAGATCTATCGATGTCACAAGTTAACTATCACTTGAAGGCAGAAAATAGCTCCTGGACTGCGGTGTGGACTCTGTCAGGCCTCCTTCCACTGCAGAAAATGCCAGTTGCTGCCCAGATGGCAAGCTGTGTTTCCTTTCCCTCAGAGTCAGGGCCAGGTGTGGCCTAGGGTATTTGTTTTAGTTGAAAAGCTAGTTGAAATAAGAAGATCCCCAGGATGCATCTTACACCCAGCTATCATTAAAAAATGTTTATCCATGTCACTCATTATTCTGATATTGTGCAACCACAGCTAGATATAAAAAAGTAAATTGAATGCAGAAATCTGACACCACACTATAGCCAACATTAATAACCTTACATTTCAACATTTTTAAGATTTATCAGAGCACTCTGTCTTGTTGTTTAAAACTATGGAATTTGAACTGTTCCAAATAAAAATAAAATATTTTCTGATAAAATTGCTCTTTAACCTCTTTTATGTTGTGTTCCATGTAGGATTTTGATTGAAACAAGATTGTTTTTAGTTTTTCTAACTACTGACAAATTAATTAAGCAAGGAGGCCATTAGACTGAGGTGGCTGTAATGACTTGGTAGCCTACATTAGCAAACCGAAACCTAAGCCTGAGTCACTGCCCTTGATCCCAGGAAATGAAACCCAAGAATGACCAATGACAAACAGCCAGTGGGGCTTTCCCAAATAAGGCAACTGCTTAAACTCTAGCTAATCAATAATTTATTTGCTTTGCTTCCACATGTTCTCTGTGAAAACCTGGACCCTAGCTTCTGTCAGCAGAGTAGTCCTAACTGCTTTTGGTTTGGTGCTGCCCAATTCAAGTCAGTATTTGCTCAAATAAGTGTCATAAACTTTAATATGACATAATATGCCCTAGTTTCTTTTTTTTTCTTTTTAACAGTTCAAACATGCACTGCTCTATTTCAGTCACATAATAGATGCTCTTACAAATCAATAAGAAAGATATTGGCTACTTAATTTAAACAAAATAAAAAGATTTGAATAAGTACTTCACAAATTATGTCCAAGTAGCCAATAAGCCTATGAAAAAGTGTTCAACATTGTCACATGTCATGGAAACAGAGAGTAAAGCCATTGTGAGGTATTTTACACCCACAGGAATGACCAAAATTAAAGGGACTAAAAATATTAATTATTTACAAGTAGGTAGAGCAACTAGAACTGGCACAAATTACTGGTGAGAGTGTAAATTCATTTGATCACTTTGGAAATCTGGTGGTACCTACTAAAGCTGAACACATACTTAACTCATGACCCACCAGTTCTACTCCTTGTTAGAGAACCAAGAGAAATTAGTGCATATGTCTATCAAAAGACAACTATAAAAATTTTTGTGAGTTTTCTTAATGGTCAAAAATTGGAAATTGGAAGCAGTCCAACAGTCTATTAAAAATAGAATGGATAAACTGAGGGATATTCTTATAGTGGAACCCTAGGTGGCAATGAAAATGAAAGATCTATTGCTACAATGTAACAGCATGAATGAATTTTACAGACCTAATTCTGAATAAAAAAAGCGAAACATAAAACAGTTTGTATGTATGTACTAGTATGTATGTATGTATGCGTGTATGGTTCCATAAGTAGATAATAATTAGAAAGATATTGGTAAAGTTCATAAATAGATCAAATTAATGTATGGTAATAGAGGTCAGCATAGTATTTACCTTGTGAATATCAACTAGGAGAGGTTATGAAGGGGCACCTAGGATGCTAGAAATGCCCTGTATCTTGATCTAGTAGAATTTATTTATTAGTTAACTTGAAATCTATATTCTTTACATAGTTTAATATCTCATTAAAAAGAAAAGAAAATATTGTTCAGAAAAAAGCAACAAGTAGATCCTCCTGAAACTAGCCAAAAGCTATGGAGTTAGGCGGGGGATGTCATTAATGAAGCCCTCTACCCAAAGAGAAAGGGAGGCTCAACAGGTCACAGGTGTTTATAGTAAGGTATTTTATTTGTATACCTAAGCAAGTTAACACCACTCAATATAAAATGCAAATATAGGGTCTGATTCATAGTACACATTAAAAATATCAGTACTTTTATTGCTGCTACTATTTACTATTACTGTTACAATTTTGTTGTTGTTATTAGTGATTGAGTTTGAATCAGAAGCTCTCACTGTACCCCTGTCAGTTTCTTCTCACTTCCTCATCCCATCCTTCAGTCCATTCTTATTTTCTCCGATTCCCCACAAAGGGTACCATCAGTCCTGGGCATGGGGAAATGGGCATCGTTTTATCTTTCAAAGCAGACTGTGGGCCTGAGATGAGGTCCAGGGACAGAAGGGCCTGTGGGACGGGCTCCCTCAGACAGAGAACTCGCAAGCTGCCAAAAGGGAGGCTGTGCAGTTGATGTCATTCCATGTGCCATCAGTCCGGATCATCACACAATGTTCCCCAGAGCCAGCATTGTTGGGCTCATTATCATTCCAGTTTTGGTAGGCCACAGGCCTTCCTGTCAGATCCACAAAATGACCTTCTTTCTCCTCATCTGTGATGCCCAGGAAGGCATCTCCTCCTGTTATATGCAGGATGGCCGTGTTCTCTTCAGCATTCATGGGGGTGGCCACGGAGGCATGGAAATGGGTGCACACTGCCTTCACTTTGTCAAAGCTCATCTTTTGACGATTGGTCAAGAAGAACTTCTTTCCAACTTGTTTGCCCAGACCAAAGGCCAGCCCTGAAATAGGAAAAATGGGGTTGACACTGGCTTGTCTTTAAGGCATTTTTCTGGATAAAGGCTTCTAGAGGAGAATTGCCACATGAATACAATATGTCCAGTTAAGTTTGAATTTCAGATAAATAATGTATTTTCTTTTTATTATAAGTATCTTCCCACAAAATGTTGAGGACATACTTATCCTGAAAAATATTATTGTTTACCTGAAATTCAAATTTAAGTAGGTGTCCTGTTCTTTCATTTATTAAACCTGGCAAACCTAACCTGAAAACAGCCTGGAACAAGGGCCTTTGTCCTTTTGGATAAGAGTTCTAGAACATATGTAATTGGTAATTCTGTATTTTACCCCAGTATTCACTTGAGAAGAAAGAAAAATGTCTGCGAATATTTGCTTCAGGCCAGCAGGGCACAAAAGGAGCAGGTTAGGCCCCACTGTCAGGTCTCTACAACAGAATAACAAAGAGAAAGAAGCTTAGGTCCCGTTTTCAGTGACACCTACACAGGCTGATAGTAGAAAGTACAGGATGGGGGTTGGGGGTGTCTCTGGAGTCAGACTGGCTTCAATTTGTAAACTACCTCCGACACTTACTAGCTCTGTGCCTTTGAGCAAGTTATCCGATTTCTCTTTTTCTCCATTTCTACTAAAAGTTTGGAAGGATTTCACGAGATCAGACCATGAGGAACACTTATGCGGTACTAGAAAATTATATGTATTTAACAAATACCTTGCACCTTCCTAAACTGAAAGCTGCCTGAAACGTGAGAGAAAAGGCTTACATTCTTTGACACGTTCCAATTCTGAGCGCAGAGCTTCTCTTTCTAAAGCAGCCAGGCGATCATCACGCTCTAGAAAATGTAAACAAAGCGAAAGAACATTGTTGGGAAGGGATTTCAGAGCTCTAACTGGGTAGGGTACTTTTTCCAAATTAAAAAAATAATTTTCTTATACATTAATATTTGCTTTTTGAAGGAAAATAAAAATATTAAGAAGAAATGAGGTAAAAGTATCTGTATTGCCATCCAGCCCAAAACATCACTCATCATCTATTGAAGGTATTTAGACACTTTACGCACATGCACACATACATGAACACACATGCACTCCCTGATGACCTAGCATGATAGCACTCCACACGCCAAGCTATTCACTAATTTTTTTTCCAGATAAACAACTCCATTGTGAATAAAAAGTAAATCTCTTGGGAATTATTATGTGCTGGCGAATCTAAAAAGATTACAGGTTTTTGTCTTTAGGGAGGTTTTGTTTTTATTGCTTTTATTGTTTTGTTTTTGTTTTTCTCAGAGTTTGTTCAGTAAACCAAGATTTTTGTGAATTGCACATTATTTAAGGGGGGAGGGCATGAGGCAGGCTGTGTGTCAAAGACGGCAAAAATGGCCTCCATATGGTACTGCTTGTCTGTTTAAGAAATGGAGTCTGTTTCCCCACTCCTTGAACCTGGGTGGGCCTGTGACTTGCTTTGACAATAGAATGTGACAGAAGCAATAATGGACATGATCTAAGCCTTCAGAAGGCCTTAAAGCTTCTACTCTTTCTGCTATTGGGTATTTTGTAATCACCTCTATGTGAACAAGCGGGGCTAGCTTGTTGGAAGATGAAAGACCTGTGGGTCAATTACCCTCATCACTCCAGCTGACAACTAAACAACAGGCAGACATATAAGTGAGACCATTGGTCATCACTCGACCACAGACACTGAGATTAGCAGAAAAAAGCATTTGGCAGATCCACAGAATTGTGATTTAAATAAATGGTTGTGTTTTTTGTTTGTTTCTCATGAAGTAAAAGATAACTGACTTACCATGTAGAGACTGCTGTTGTGAAAACAGACATAATAAGTCCAACACATATGTGGTCTACTTTCTCCCTTTCGGACCAGAGCCTCACATTGTGGCAGCTAAAGGAAAGCCAGGGCCCAGCTCCTTCAGGGGGTGCCCGGTGAAGGAGTGGCTCTGGAGGGTCTGCAAGTCTGTACTCCGAAATCCCCTTAGGCTCTAAGCAAGGGCTGAGTGTGCTGGGTCAGGAAGCAGAGTTAGGCATCTTTCCATGAAGCAGCAGAAGTGGTATCTCCCAACTGATACTCAAAATCCCAGGACCCTGGGACTAGGCTGTCAGCTTAGACCTGGTTGAGGTTAGCTTCTTACCTGGACATTTTCCAGGGTCTCCTTTTTGGCCCACACTTCCTGGTAGCCCAGGGGGTCCTGGATTTCCTTGAGGCCCCAACTTTCCAGGGGGACCTTGAATGCCTCTGAGCCCTTGGCCTATGGGAAGAAGAAAACATAAATTAGTGTCTCGGTGTTTGCTCTATTTCTCCAAGAGCTTGATGCTTAATCTTTTCCCAGGAGAGCAGAGACATTAATCCAGGACCAGCTTTCTAAATCACTACTTCCACTGACCCAGAGAAGAAAATCTTCCCAGGTCCCTCGGGATGGCTTGCCATGAAGGGCCACTCCCTGAGCAAGCAGGACAACCACATGTCACCAACTCCTGTGTGGAAGTCAGGGATGCCAGAGTCAGAGCTGTATTTGTTTTGAACTATAATACGTAGTTGAGAGAAATACGACCTATATGAATTGGACATTGCTCTTACATCTCCCGGCAGTTTTGTCTGGCAGGTAAAGATTCACAGAGAAACAACAGCCCAAGCTCTACCTGGTTCTCCTTTTTCTCCCTTGGGGCCATCACGCCCATCTCTGCCTGGCAAGCCATTGATGCCTGGAGAAGCACAGGTGATCACAGGGCAGGTCTTTTGAAGGTTCTCATCGGGTTCTATTTCTGAATAAGATGTTGTCACCACACTCAGAAGAAGGAGAGAGAGCGATGGAAACAGAGCCATGGTCCTCACCTTGGTGTGTGGAAAGTCAAAGAAGATTATCTCATCGTGTTCAGTTAATCAACATGCATTTACCAAACATTCCCTCTGTCCTATAACATGTACTGGGCAGAGATGATGTAGAGATGGATGGCCCACCCATTGCTGCCTCCAGACTGGGGATGTGGAAAAGCAAATCTTCCTTCGGATATTGTGTGATGAGTACTTGAACATGGGTAGGAATAACATGCAGTGACGTCCCTAGAAGGGGGTCCCAAATGGCCCAGGCCTCTGGTTTTACCATTAGAAAGCTGTGCATATGCTCTCCATATCCTTTCTGAGACCCACTTCCAGCACACTTATGCCTATTGGCTTAAGGCAGCGGTTCTCAACCTGTGGGTCGTGACACGTTTGGCGGTCAAACGACCCTTTCACAGGGGTCGCTTAAGACCATCCTGCATATCAGATATTTACATTACGATTCATAACAGTAGCAACATTACAGTTATGAGGTAGCAACGAAAATAATTTTATGGTTGGGTCACAACATGAGGAACTATATTTAAAGGGCCAGAAGGTTGAGAACCACTGGCTTAAGGGGTGGAAGTGAATGGAGATCCAGGAATCTGTAGGAGCCCCCGCTCACCCCACTTCTCCCATTTGGGCCCATCTGCCACCTGCATCCCATCCTCATATCTAGGCAGATCATTGCCCTTCAGGGCCAGTTAACAGACACTGACTTAATGGCAGGCACTGAACTGTAGGCTGGTGATCCAGAGAGGAATAGTCACTGCTAGTCACTAACCCAGAATTAACTTGTGTTTGCTTCCTTAGGAAGTTTTATTTCCTGCTGCAAGAGAGACTTACCAGGGGTAGCATTTTGGAAATGTCTCACTACCTTGTCCCCAGCAGGGTGCCAGATTCCCCTCTAGTTCCTGGAGGAAATTTCCCGTGTTCTGTGGATAAAAAACACGGGCAATTACCACTCCCTTGACTCCCCTTCCTATTTCTTAATCTTAGCATTTCATCTCTCCTTCAATGCTCTCTTTCAAAACTGTCATTTCCCAGGAAACCTCAACATACTAGCTTCGTGGTTCTATTTCTTTATGGCTTTCTTTGGAAAAGAAGGCAGTGTCATTTCTGCAAATGGTCAGGTAAATCCAGAAAGCCACAGGTGCCCGGCAAAAGCAAAGAAAGAATAACTTCTGCTGGCCATCTCCCCACCTTCACCCCTCAGAAACCTTCCTGTAGGCCTCCAAGGTCAAGTCAAGTCCCTAGACAGATCCAGGACCATAGATTCATTCAGCAGAAAGGACTTACTGGGGCTTGTGCAGAGCGGGGATGCAAAGGTGAGGAAGCTGGCCCTCCAGCCGGGGCTCTGGCAGATGTCTCAGGGTAAGGAAGGAGGCTGGACTGGGCAACTGCAGGGCCCAACCAGCCTTGTGAACTGAGATGGACAGGCTGGCCTGGCCTTCAACCGCAGATTAATAAACAACCCTTCTTGGGACTGCACTAAACTCCTAGCATTGCCCAGGGGTTTCTGGCACAAAGTTCAGCAGCTGTTTGCTTTAATGCTTCACAAATCATCCTTCAAATTGCCATTTATTATTTATTGTGGTAAAATATACATAACATCATATTTGCCATTGTGACCATTATTAGGTGATAATTCAGCAGCATTAAGTACATTTACATTGTTGTGCAACCATCACCACTAATCTCCAGAACTTTTCATCATCTCTGACCGAAAGTCCATACTCATTGAACAATAATTTCCACTCCCCACTCCCACCCCTCAGTAACCCCCGATGACTACTGTTCTACTTTTCATCTCTATGAATTTGTCTATTCTAGGTACCTTATATTAGTGGAATCATATGATATTTGTTCTTTTGTGACTGGCTTATTTCACTTAGCATAATGTCTTCAGGGTTTATCCGTGTTGCAACATATATCAGAATTTTCTTCCCTTTTAAGACTGAATTATTCCATTATATGCAAATACCACATTTTGGAAGGTTCATTTTTTAAAATACGTTTTTTTTTTAATTTATTTTTTAGAGAGAGAGGAAGGGAGAGGGAGAGAGAGATAGAAACATCAATGATAGAGAAACATAAACATTAACAATGATCAGCTGCCTCCTGCATGCTCCCTGCTGGGAATCCAGCCCACAACCCAGGCATGTGCCCTGACCGGAATCGAACTGGTAACCTCTTGGTGCATAGGTTGATGCTCAACCACTGAGCCACACCAGCTGGGTGGTAGCTTCATTTCTAACAGCCAAAATTACTGGAAATAATCCAATTGTTCTTCAACAAGTGAATGGATATATAAACTGTGGAAAACTCACAGAAAAAAACAACAACAAGACTATTGACTCATAAAATAGCTTGAATCTCAAAGGTATTATGTGAGTAAAAGAAATATAATCTCAAAAATTTACAAACTGTATGTTCTTTTTATATAGCATTCTTGAAATGATAAAAGTGCAATAGAGGACAAATCAGTAGTTGGCAGGAATCAGGACTACAGGGAGGATATAGCTCTAAAGGTGTAGCATGACAGTTTTCATTGGGGCTGATGGAATAGTTTTGTATCTTAATTGTGGTGGTCTTGTGGGTCAGTGGCCTGAACCATGTGATGGTGGTCAAGAGAGACAATCTAGATGGAAAGGAAGAACAATTTTATGAAGCACAATGGGTGTTCTAGAGCCTTCCAAACACCAGAAGGAATGTGGATGGATGAGATTCCCTCTAGATCCCTTCCAATTAGACTCCCCTTGGCTTGTGAAGGGCCTGGTTTCCTTACTTTCTGCTGACCCGTCCCTGTGCCTAAAAAATGTCCAGGATGGTAGAAAACCACATGCCTAAAGCATGTGACAGACACCAGGAGATCCAGCACCTAAAAACGGCTGCAGGCAACCTGTTCATCCCTCTTGCCTCCTCTTTAGCAGCCAAATCTTCCTATGGCTCCTGCTCCAAAGTGGCAGGAGGTGAAATAAGGTAACTGAATCCTGTTGGAGGTGCTGCCTTTGATCACAGAGTTTGTTTTTATTGAACACTTAGTCCAGAGGTCAGGAAGCTGCCCTCCAGACCCTGACATTTCCTGGAACTGGGCTGGGAAGCGGTGAGCCACTGCTCTGGGTATGCCCCACCTCTGAGCCCCTTCTGCTCTCTAGAGTCGCCTGCAGGCCTTTCCCATCATGAAAGACCCCTCGCCACATGCACCAGACCCTGATTACCCACTCTTCACTCCACATCACAGATAAGGCCACTGTGTGCATTTGTTCTGGAATTTAGACCCTTCCCAGGATTGCCTCCACTTGGTACCTTCATCAAAATCCACCTCACCTCAAGGGGTTTCAGAGACGCTGCCTCTCTGAGCTGTAGAAGGACTGCCTGGCCCTCTGCACCCCCTTTCCTCTCACTGGGGCTGGAGTCCCAGCTCTGCTACTTCCCAGCTGTGGGTCCTTGGCCAAGTTCTATCTCCAACAGTTCCTCAATTTCCTCACTTGTGAACGAGGACCCCACTGCCTTGGTCATGCCATGGAATGCCCTTTCTGGTCCACACTCAGCGTGCAAGCAGCCCACCATGCCGGGGCCTTCATTGCTTCTAGGTTGACTGCTCAATGGTCTTCTTGGGAAGCAGCGTTCTGGGGTGGCCCCTTTTGTGAGGAGATTTAGAATCAGAAGACTTGCTTTGGGCTCATAACTGTGAGTGTAGACAAGTCCTCTGTCCTGACTGAGCCTCAGTTTTTACACCCATAAAATAAGATTTTGAACCCCGTTCTCTTTCCCATGGGGATGCTGTGAGTGAGTGATGACAGTAAACGGGAGAGGTCAGTGCCCTCCAGGCAAAGACCGCCAGGAACATGCCTAAAGCCAAATGAAGTTGATTTGCTTCCTTTTAGTTTTTATAAATTTCATACTTATTATATACAGGATATTGCATACAGTGGTGAACCATATGATTCCTCAGGACCAGGTTATCAGGAGGGATATTTTTGGGGGATTTGGCCTTGTGTTAGGTGATTTGGGGGGAAGTTTCAAGAAATGGATGTCTATGCTACACAGGATCCCGTTGAGAAGCCGAGATAATTCTATAACTGAGTTACCTTAATAAATTTTGTCACGGAGAGAGAAATGGGACAAGGCAAAGCTGTATCTGTAAAGGAGTGGCAGGTGTTCCAGGAGAGGGGCATGTTTTCATTTTTGTGGTCCTCAGAATGACCATTTTTGTCTGTGTCCAAATAAGATTTTGGAATGACCTTTATATCTCATAACAGAATGATCTTATGTTGGACAGCGGGGACCTGCTCCCATGCCACAGAAACCCGAACACACGTGACCTCAGAGCCTTCCCAGACATTCTCCGCTCATCCTTGCCCCACCCTTGTGCCCAGCGTTGTATTTCCACCAACAGCCTCCCTCTAGGGCTGTTTTTCCCTGACACCCGATGAGAGACCGTCATCTTCATTCCTGGGTCTCTGGGGCTAGGGGTGCTTCTTGTCAGGGGTCATCCTCTGCCCTTACTTTGTCTCACTAGGTGGGACACAGAGCAGGGCCTGGCAGAATTACCCAGTTAGGCCCGACACCCCCAAAGAGGAGGAGCTCACAGATGAGATAAGGAGAGGGCTGAGTGGGTACCTCCATCCACAGGGACACAGGGCCAGAAATAAACATCAACTAATGCATAATCATTAGAAAGGACTGACTAGTCATTTAAAATAAGCATAATCAATATCTATCAAGAAATAAGTGAAAACACTTGTCATATTACTCAGATAAGAGGTGGTAGAAAAGTGATAAACTACACATATGAAAATGAATGGCATAACTTAATAACTGAAATAATGAGCTGTGATATTATGATTTATAATAAGAAACACATTCTTTGTTCTTTGTCCCGTTCCTGGTTCAGAGCTGCTAAAACCTTTGGAATTTCCTAAGTGATTAAAAGAGAAACTGTCTTTGTTGTTAATGAGGTGACTTTTGGAAAGCTCCTAGGTGACCTAAGGATGGGCTGGTTGCCAGGAGCCAATCATGAGATACACACCCAGGGGCTCTAAACGGGGGAAGTGTAGTATAAAGAATGATTAGGCTGTGACAAAAGTAACGATAGGATACAAGAACTCTCTGTGGCTCACACCTCCTTGGGGAAGGCAGAGTTGCACCCAGTGGATGGCAGAGAACTGTGCTGGCTGGCTCATCCAGAGCTGCTCTACAGTCATGGGACGGGACAGAGGAATGAACTTTCTGGAACACAGGCATGGAGGCCAGCCAGAGCTGGTGGCCGCTCTGCCGGGCAGTGGGGCAGTGAGTGGGCATGTGTGGCAGGCGCCAAGCATATGTTCCTGTTGAAAGAGCTGCTGGGGGCTGGGGGCGGAGGGGGGGCTGCAGCAGAGGGAATGAGGGCATAGGTGCAGGCAGGAAGCCTTCAGGCTGGATTTTCCTGTCAAGAGGGCGCCAGAGGTTGTATGAGACCAGGCCAGGCACACTTGCAGACTTGCCCAGGGACAGAGCCTTGGGGCTGTGGCTGGGCCACCCACCAGCTGCCTCCACAAACTGCAGGAGCCCCTTTCTCCGGCAGCAGCTCTCTAGTGCCCTCTAGTGTGAAAGCTTATTACGCTCACTTTAAAGAAGAAATGCTTATAGGACTTTGGTAGTTTAGCAGCATATACTGAATAAATGTATAGCCCAGAGCTCTTTGATAGCTGTCACAGTAGGTGTGTCTGTGTGTCCATGTACATGGCGAGTCCACAAATGCCCACAAACTGCAACATGTGGACATATGTTGCATCAGGGATTCCTCCAGCCAAGCCTCATGGGAGAGGCTGAGAGCCAAGTGGGGCAGAAGGCTGGGCCTGGCTGGCTCTGGG